GGCTGAGGAACCGGGGGGCGGCCAGAGCCCCCCGACTTCTGGCGACTACGACATCCGGCCTGGCTTCTTCCGGCCCATCTGTGGGCAGGAGGGAAACACAAGCAGGGTCAGCGTGTGGCCCCCTGACGGCGGGACATGGGGGAGGGGAGTCAGCGAAACCACCCCGCAATCCAGGCTCCAGCCCCTCCCCTGCGCTAACCACTAGGCCCCACTCCCCTGCCACAACTGGGGAGAGAACCCAGTGTCCTGGCTCCCAGCCCTGCAGCTCTAACCACTAGCCCCCGCTCCCCTCCCGGCCCCAGGGAGAGAACCCAGGCGCCTTGGCTCCCAGCCTCACCCCCCACCCCGGGTGGGACCCAGGCGTCCGGGCGCCGGTACCTGGGAGATGCTGACGCCGGTGAGTTTCTCCACGGCGTCCGGGAGCTTGGTCATGATATCCAGCACCTCCCCGGTCAGCTTGGCTGCGCCCACTTCCCCGCCCCCGCTCGACACCATCGTGATCTTCTTCACCTCCGTCAGCGGCTTGCTGATCTCATCCGCCACCTGGGGGGAGGGGCACACCGCTCTGTTATTGTAGGGTCTCCCTTAAGTGCCAGGACTGAAGCAGGCTGGGTTGTTATTGTAGGGTCTACCACAAGTGCTGGGGCTGAAGCAGGCTCCCTTAAGTGGCAGGGTTGAAGCAGGCTGCATTGTTATCGTAGGGTCTGCCTTAAGTGCCAAAGGCCCGCAGACTGGTCTGTTACTGTAGGGTCTGCCTTAAATGATTGGGGAGTCACGGGGGTAGGGGCTAAGCAGGCTGGGTTGTTATTGTAGGGTCTACCTTCAGTGCCAGAGTTGAAGGAGGCTGGGCTGTTACTGTAGGGTTAGTGCTGGGAGCCAAGGAGGCTGGTTTGTTATTGTAGGGTCTCCCTTAACTGCCGGGGGACAGCAGCCTGGTTTGTTATTGTAGGGTCTGCCTTCAACGCCGGTGGAGAGGCAGCTGGCTAAGTGACATCCAGGTCTCCCCCCGGGGGCACAGGTGGGGGAGCTGCCGTACGACAACAACCCAGCCTGTTTTCCCCAGCATTTAAAGCAGACCCTACAATAACAAACCAGCCGCTCCCAGCATTAACCCTACAGTAACCACCCAGCCTGCTTCAGCCCCAGCACTTGTGGTAGACCCTACAATAACAACCCAGCCTGCTTTCCCCAACACTGAAGGGAGACCCTACAACAACAACCCAGCCTGTTTTCCCCAGCATTTAAAGCAGACCCTACAATAACAACCCAGCCTGCTTTCCCCAACACTGAAGGGAGACCCTACAACAACAACCCAGCCTGTTTTCCCCAGCATTTAAAGCAGACCCTACAATAACAAACCAGCCGCTCCCAGCATTAACCCTACAGTAACCACCCAGCCTGCTTCAGCCCCAGCACTTGTGGTAGACCCTACAATAACAACCCAGCCTGCTTTCCCCAACACTGAAGGGAGACCCTACAACAACAACCCAGCCTGTTTTCCCCAGCATTTAAAGCAGACCCTACAATAACAACCCAGTCTGCTTGGCTCTCAGCACTAACCCTACAGTAACCGCCCAGCCTGCTTCAGCCCCAGCACTTAAGGTAGACCCTACAGTAACAACCCAGCCTGCTTGGCCCCGCCCCCTCTCACCCCTCAGGCACTTAAGGCAGACCCTACAGTAACAGACCAGCCTGCTTCTGCCCTGGCACTTAAGGGAGACCCTACAATAACAGCCCAACTTGCTTCAGCCCTGGCACTTAAGTGGGGCAGGGGATGAGCGTGGGGTGCTCTATGGGGAGGGGAGAGGTGGTGGGAGGAGAGTGGAGGCCCTGTGAGGCTGGGGGGGCTGGCACGGGGGGGAGGGA